ACCCCCAATCTAGTAGTCTCCCGATAATTCATGAAGGTTCGAGAAGGACGTGGCGTGATACTAGTCACGTGACCTCGCTTTCGCAACACTATGATCACTAACTCTTATACTATAATGTGCAATGCGTCAGTAAGCCAGCTTTCTTCATGCAACATACTTAATATACCGGAAATTAACAAACGACCAGAGACGTAACAGTACCTTAACTTCCTTCTTAGTCAAGTAAGGTTTTCTGTATATAGAATGTCCTTTGTTTTGTCACTAGTGCTGGCGCTGTTTCACAGTTTGTCACTGAAAGTAAAACCACAGAGGGTAATACACTTAGCATAACCAACATAAACAAAGGTACAGAAAATAAGGATTTTCATACTAAATACTGTAAATGAGAATACTGTTTTAAAAACTTCAATAACTTGTTCCTTGAATTACTATGGATTCTGTTTTTAAAAACTTCAATAACTTGTTCCTTGAATTACTATAATGTATGTAAATTTTTGTGAAGTAAAATTATCCACCACATTGAGATTACATAAATATTAGAATTAACGTGGTGGAAAATGTATGTTAAAACGTAATGAAACGTACAAAGAGTCGCAAACTAAAATATATAGGCCCGGCATGGCCAGGTGGTTAAGGCACTCGACTCGCAATCTGAGGGTTGTGGGTTCGAATCCCTGTCACACCAAACATGCTCGCCCTTTCAGCCCGGGGGGCGTTATAATGTAACAGTCAATCCCACTATTCGTTGGTAAAAGAGTAGCCCAAGAGTTGGCGGTGGGTGGTGATGACTAGCTGCCTTCCCTCTAGTCTTACACTGCTAAATTAGGGACGGCTAGCGCAGATAGCCCTCGTGTAGCTTTGCGCGAAATTCAAAAACAAACAAACAAACTAAAATATACACTAACTTCCCTTCATTCTTATCTTGCCACCCAGTGGCACAGCGGCACGTCTATGGATTTACAACGCTAGAAACCGGGTTTCGATACCCGTGGTGGGCAAAGCACAGATAGCCCATCGTGTGGCTTTGTGCTTAATTACAAAGAAAGATTCTTAACTTAGTGTCAAGACTAATCTCAAGAAACTTGAAAACCCAGATATTGTAAATTATTTTCTGATAAAGTTTAGTTACTAAAAATATTATTTCCTCAATATTAAGAGTAAAAGATAATGTCACATATTTATATTACAATATATGTTATTTTCTATACAATATATGTTATTGCTTTTTTAAGCGCAAAGCTACACAATAGCAAACTTTGTTCTATCCACTATGGGGAGTCGAACCCCGAATTTTGTGTTGTAAGTCTGTAAACATACCGCTGATCCATTGGTTGGCACTACAATACCACATACATTCTGGTTTATCCGAAACTTGACAAACATTATTAACTTTCACTTGCTATGATCTATAATTTTCAAAAGCATTTTAAACTTTTGCATTTTGTGTTGATTAGACTCATCAAAACTATTTAACTGTTGACTTAAAGTTAGACTGTTAGGTAGATATTTTGAACTGTGTTACAGAACCAGGTTAATTACACTAGAGAATTATTCTCCAACATAAGTGATATCACTTTAATATTTTCAGTTATTTCCTGACTAAACAGCCTAAAGTCAAGTTTCCTGGGTACCTTTAAAAATGTGTTTGTGCAGTTTTATAAATTCTTTGATATTAGCATCATTTGTATTTTGCATAACTGGATTAAAATAGCTTTTCACTTTCGTATTCATTTTATTTTGTTTAGGTTTGAATCAACGCTTGATAATAATAATATAAAAGAAGACTACCAAGGTCAAGAAAAGTTTGGTAAGATTAGTTCTGAGAACATTTGCAATAATGGTGACCACCCAGTATTCCGAAGGCCCTATTGTCACATATATTTGGCTTTCTCAGTATAATTCAAAATTGATTGAATAATAAATTTGTAGGTCCATGGTAGATTAATGCAATCTCAAATAGAAAGTTTAAAGGGTACATTTTGGCGGGTGTTCAGGGTCAGGGCTGCCCCTAACGGCTTGTTCTCGTTTTAAATACAAACATAATTTGTTTAATCAACATTGTAGTGTACACCCCTTTGCATTGCCTCGGTGTCAAAATAATTTTACTGACTGGGAGTTTTAAGCATGTTTAAAGAGTAGAGGATATAACATTCGTTGTCACAACATTATGGAATAAGAATCTTGAATCAGAAGAGATTGATTCCCAAATCCAACCCTGATGCGTAAACATGCTGGCTCTGCAGCTAACACTAAACATGTATACAAGAAAATAACATTGGGGAAGACATGACAAACATTATCCAGTGAAACGAATTTGTTACTATATCAACGTTTGTTTAGATGAAATTTCTATTCTTAGCTTATACTGTTAAATATGTATTGCGAAACTCCCGCCTATTCTCCAAAGTTATAGAAGATCTTCGAGAGTAAGAATCAACAATATATGTGTGTACGTA